GCGATTGTATGCCATGTTACTGACTTTTAGGTTTACATTTACCACGTTTCTCTTCTCAGGTCCCCTTGCCCACTGGGGACTCCTCTTTGGCTCCTTGAAGTTTGCTGCTTAGAGGTGGAAATGCAGCAGGCAGGCGATCATGCTACAACTTCTTTCTGGACCTCTGGCGAAGGGAGTGGCCGGTGAAGGCCTCGTTACCTTGGGATCTGCAGGGCTGGGGTGTTTTCGGGATCTGCAAGGCTGGGGTGTTCTCGGGATCTGCTGTCCACAGCTCTCCACTGTAATCTGAATACTTTGCCAGTGCACTAATCTCTTTGGAGATAAAATTCATTAGTGTGTTACTAAATGTTCATTTTCTTTTGCAGAAAATACAGTACCGTGTCTGAATTATTAATATTTAAAGTATTTCATTTCTTAGCTCTCCTGATTTGCTTTGCCCACAGCCTATTCAGTTCCTTTTTTTGGCAGGATTCTGCAAAATGTATCTCACCCACTACTGAGATTGTTCAGCCCCTGATGTATTTGTATTGATTTGTTTCTGGTGGTAGCTTGTCCTAAAATGTGTGTAGAAAGCAAGTGTTTTATGATAAAATTGATGTGTAGTGCACACTGTTTGGAATTCAGAGGAAAACCCAGATTCATTGATTAACAGTGCCAAAAAATGCAAGTAACCAGCCATTGTTCAAATGACAGTGGTGCCATTTCTCTTTTGTAGCCTTTTAGACTTTTGTTGCCCTAAAATTCCATTTTATTGGGAACCCATTTTCCACCTGGTCTTTCTTAACAGGGTTTTTTCCTACTTTAAACAGTTTCTAAATAAAATTCTGTATTTCAAGAGTAACAAAAAAAAAAACACACACAAAAAAAAAACTAGAATAATGAATTTGGGAGTTGTGTGTCGCCCCCTTGTGGTAGAGGTTGGGAAGGCACTGAACCCTTGGGTTTGAACTGGAATGATGACTTTGGGAGGTGTTTGGGGCCCTCTTGTAGAGGCTGGGAAGGCACTGGACCCTTGGGTTCAAACTGGAATGATGAATTTGGGAGTTGTGTGTCGTCCCCTTGTGGTAGAGGCCGGAAAGGCATTGGACCCTTGGGTTTGGACTGGAATGACGAATTTGGGAGTTGTGTGGCACCACCTTGTGGTAGACACGGGGAAGGCACTGGACTCTTGTTTGGTCTGGAATGTTGAATTTGGGAGTTGTGTGGTGTCCTCTTGCGATAAGAGGCTGGGAAGGCACTGTACCCTAGTGTTTGGATTGGAATGATGAATTTGGGAGTTGTGTCGTGTCCCCTTGTGGTAGAGACCAGGAATGCACTGGACCCTAGGGTTTGGACTGGAATGAATTTGGGGGTTGTGTGGCGCCCCCTTGTGGTAGAGAGTGGGAAGGCACTGGACTTTAGGGTTTGGACTGGGATAATGAATTTGAGAGTTGTGTGGTGCCCCCTTGTGGTAGAGGCTGGTAAGGCACAGGACCCTAGGGTCCATCCAAATGATGAATTTGGGAGTTGTGTGGCACCACCTTGTGGTAGATGTTGGGAAGGCACTGAACCCTTGGGTTTGGACTGGAATGGTGAATTTGGGAGTTGTGTAGCACCCCCTTGTGTTAGAGTCCTGGAAGGCACTGGACCTTAGGGTTTGGCCTGGAATGTTGAATTTGGGAGTTGGGCGAGGCCGCTTTCTGGTACAGACTGGGAAGGCTCGGAACCCTTGGGTTTGGACTGGAATGATGAATTTTGGAGTTGTGTGGCGCCCCCTTGTGATAGAGACTGGGAAGGTACTGGAGCTTTGCGTTTGAACTGAAATAATGAGTTTGGGAGTGTGTCGCCCCCTTGTGGTAGAGGCCGGGAAGCAACTCGACCCTAGGGTTTAGACTAGAATGTTAAATTTGGGAGTTGTGTGGCTCCCCCTTGTGGTATAGGCCGGGAAGGCACTGGACCTAGGCTTTGGACAGGAATGATTAATTTGGGAGTTGTGTGTCGCCCCCTTGTGGTAGAGACTGGGAAGGTACTGGACCCTTGCATTTGGACTGGAATAATGAATTTGGGAGTTGTGTGTCGCCCCCTTGTGGTATAGGCTGGGAAGGCACTGGACCCTGAGGTTTGGACTGGGATGATGAAAAATGGGGGTTTTCCCAGTGGGTGTCTGTAGACTGGCGCAGCCAAACCCTAGAAGTTTTGGAGCTAAGGAAGAATCAGAAACGAGACAAGGCCGGGGACGGTGGCTCACACCATAATGCTAACACTTTGTGAGGCCAAGGCAAGAGTTTGAGATCAGCCTGGATAACATAGTGAAACCCTGTCTCTAATGAAAATGCAAAATTTTGCTGGATGTGGTGGTAGGCGCCTGTAATCCCAGCTACACAGGTGACTGAGGCAGGAGTCACCTGAACCCAAGAGGCAGAGGTTGCAGTGAGCCAAGATTGTGCCACTGCACTCCAGCCTGGGCAGCAGGGCAAGACTCTGTCTCAAAAAATTAAAAATAAATAAATAAATGGAAGCTGGGCATGTGGGCATGATGGCTTACATGTTGAATTCTAGCTACTCGGGAGGCTAAGGTCTGGGGGATTGCTTGAGTCCGAGAGGTCGAGGCTGCAGTTATTATTGCAGGGTAGGAGTGGGACCTTGCTGTATCTTAAGAAAAAGGAAAAAGTAAGGAGGGCCGGGTGTGATGGCTCATGCCTGTAATCCCAGCACTTTGCAAGGCTAAGGTGGGTGGATGACTTGAGCCCAGAAGTTTGAGATCAGCCTGGGCAACATTGTGAGACCCCATCTCTAGAAGAAATACAAAATTTATTTGCGTGTGGTGGTGCCTGCCTGTAGTCCCAGCTACCCAGGAGGCTGAGCTAGGATGATCACTTGAGGCCAGGAGGTTGAGGCTGCAGGGAGCCATGATCTTGCCATTGCACTCCAACCTGGGTGACAGAGCAAGATGCCATCTCAAGAAAAAAGAAAAAGCTTATAGATGAAAGTTCATAGCAGCAGTACAGCAGCAAAATTTCACCTCTGTTCTCTAGGCCTGAGAATTATTTATTATTATTATTTTTTTTTTTTTTCTTGAGACAGAGTCTTGCTTCTTCAAACAGGCTGGAGTGCAGTGGTGCGATCTTGTCTCACTGCAACCTCTGCCTCCCAGGTTCAAGCAATTCTCTGCCTCAGCCTCCCGAGTAGCTGGGACTACAGGTGCCTGCCACCACACCTGGCTAATTTTTGTATTTTAGTAGAGATGGAGTTTCAGCATGTTGGCTAGGTTGGCTAGGTTGAACTCCTGACCTCGTGATTCACCCACCTTGGCCTTTCAGAGTGCTGGGATTACAGGCATGAGCCACCACACCTGGCAGACATGAGAATTATTAAGTTGACATAAAAGAGGTTAACAGGAGAGAAGGGTACAGATTTACTTAATACAAGTTTTGCATGGTGTAGGAGCCCTCAGAGGAAAATGAAGTTGAGAGGCCAAGGCCGGAGGATCCCTTGAGGCCAGGAGTTCAAGACCAGCCTAGGCAACATGGCAAGACTCTCTCTACAACAAATACAAAATTTACCAGGGTATGGTGGCATGTGCCTGTAGTCCCAGCTACTCAGGGGCCTGAGGCAGGAGGTGGAGGTTGTGGTGAGCTGAGATCTAGTCACTACACTCCAGCTTGGGTGACAAAGAACCTATCTCTAGCTCTGTTAAAAAAAAAAATGGGGATGGGGCGGGGGACAGGCGTGGTGGCTCACACCTATAACCCCAGCACTTTGGGAGGCTGAGGCAGTTGGATCACTTGAGGTCAGGAGTTCGAGACCAGCCTGGCTAACGTGGCGAAACCATGTCTCTACTAAAAATCAAAAATTGGCCAGGTGTGTGGTGGCGCGTGCCTGTGGTCCCAGCTCCTTAGGAGGCTGAGGCAGGAGAATTGCTTCAACCTGGGAGGTGGAAGTTGCAGTGAGCTGAGATCACGCCACTGTGTTCCCGACTGGGCAACAGAGCAAAGATCTGTCTCAAAAAAATAAAGATTTTAAAAAGGGAATGAAGAGACTAAGAACCATTTAGAATTAGTTAAAGAATAGTAAATTGTGCAAAAGCAACAAAATTATGTGAGAGGCTTGAGAGAGAAGCATGATTCTATCAAAGGCTGATCATAATTCTCTCAGTGCCAGCTTTCCTTGCTTGATGATAAGATGTATGGGAGAACATCTTTCACTTGGGAAACTTAAGGTCTTGTTTTTAAGAGCAAGCCTGGGTCAGTTGCAGTGGCTTATGCCTATAATTCCAGCACTTTGGGAGGTCAAGGCAGGCAGATCACCTGAGGTCAGTTTGAGACCAGCCTGGCCAACGTGGCAAAACCCCATCTGTACTAAAAATACAAAATTAGCTGGGTGTGGTGGCACATGCCTGTAATCCCAGCTACTAGGAAGTCTGAGGCAGAAGAATTGCCTGAACTTGGGAGGTGGAGGTTACAGTGAGCGGAGACTGTGCCATTGCACTCAAGCCTCAGCGACAGAGCAAGAGTCTGTCTCAAAAAAAAAAAAAAAAAGAGAGAGAGAGAGAAAAAGAAGCCAGGCAGGGTGACTCATGCCTGTAATCCCAGCACTTTGGGAGGCTGAGGCAGGTTGATCACCTGTCAAGAGTTCAAAACCAGCCTGATCAACATGGAGTAACCCATCTCTACTAAAAATACAAAAAATCAGCCAGGCGTGATGGTACATGCCTATAATTCCTGTTACTTGGGAGGCTGAGGCAGGAGAATTGCTTGAACTCAGGAGGCAGAGGTTGTGATGAGCCGAGATAGTGCCATTGCACTCCAGCCTGGGCAACAAAAGCAAAACATTGTCTCGAAAAACAAAAAAATACCCCAAAACAATACAAAATTAGCCAGGCGTGGTTGTATACACCTGTAATCCCAACTACTCTGGAGTCTGAAGCATGAGAATTGCTTGAACCCGGGAGGCATAAGTTGTGGTGAGCTGAGATCGTGCCATTGCACTCCTACCTGGGCAACAAGAGTGAAACTCCATCTGAAAAAAAAAAAAAAAGGAGCCATGGCGGCGGCGCTCTGGGCATGGGGGGCGACGCGGCGCGTGTTGTCAGCGCTCCGAGACCGGAGCCCGGGGCTTGCGGCCATGTCATCAGGCACTCACAGGTTGACGGCAGAAGAGAGGAATCAAGCTATACTCGACCTTAAAGCAGCAGGATGGTTGGAGTTAAGTGAGAGAGATGCCATCTACAAAGAGTTCTCCTTCCAAAATTTTAATCAGGCATTTGGCTTTATGTCCCGAGTTGCCCTACAAGCAGAGAAGATGAATCATCACCCAGAATGGTTCAACGTATATAACAAGGTCCAGATAACGCTCACCTCCCATGACTGTGGTGAATTGACCAAAAAAGATGTGAAGCTGGCCAAGTTTATTGAAAAAGCAGCTGCTTCTGTGTGATTTCTTCCAAAATCCATGTGAAATCTTGTACATATCTTAGCTGCAATGTATACTGAAGGAAATTTACTTGAACAAATTGAGTTGTTCTTAAGGCATCATATCTAGAGGCAAAAAAAGAAAAATAACAATTTAAGTCATGTAAATTTGGTTTGCCTTTGTATACTACATTTGGTAAAATCATTGCTTAAATATGAAATGATTTAAACTTGAACTGGAGGTATTTTTCATGCTGTCTAATCATATACCTAAGATAAAAGCTATTAGATTAATAATATTCAAAAAAAAAAAAAGGAAAGAAAGAAAGAGCCTGAAGGACAGAGTGCTCTTTTCGCATGCGCAGTTTTTCGAGTGCCTTTGACTTAACTGGTCTGTATGCCAGACTGGCATTTCTGGGGTGGCGCCCTCTAAAGTGCATCACAGCGTGATTCACAACCAACAGGTGGAAACAACCCATGTGCCCATCATTGCATGAATGGATCAACAACATGTGCTCCATCCATTCAGTGGAATATTATTCAGTCATAAAGATAAAGTGGGCCAGGCATGGTGGCTCCCACCTGTAAGCCCAGCACTTTGGGAGGCCAAGGCTGGGGGATCACCTGAAGTCAGGATTTCAAGAACAGCCTGGCCAACATGGTTAAACCCCATCTCTACTAAAAGTACAAAAATTCGCTGGGTTTGGTGGTGGGCGCCTGTAGTCCCAGCTAGTTGGGAGACTGAGGCAGGAGAATTGCTGGAACCCCGGAGACAGAGGTTGCAGTGAGCCGAGATCGCGCCACTGCACTTCAGCCTGGGTGATAGAGTGAGACTTGGTCTCAAAAAACAAGGTTAATTTTATGCTGTGTGAATTTCCCCTCCAGGAGGGAACATGCATCAGCTTCTCTATGTGCTGATAGGAATGACGCAGGAGTGAGAGGAGAATTGTTGGGGTGAGTGCTTGCCTAGGCCAATGCAGGCATGGAGGAGTTGGTGGAGAAGGGGGCCTGGTTTTGCTGCATTCTGGGCATATTGATTCTCCCTGGGGGAAGAGGAAGAGCCAGTGTGTCTGGGTGCCGATGCAGGTCTGCAGATGGATGGAGGGCGGTGGCCCTGGACTTTCTCTCCTGCTGATTTCTATTTTCTCAGCAATGCCACCATGTCTGCCACCAAGACTGGGAAACAGGAGGAAGATGTGAGTATTAACAGGAAATAATGGGCTGCGCGCGGCGACTCATACCTGTCATCCCAGCACTTTGGGAGGCTGAGGTGGTCGGATCACTTGAGGTCAGGAGTTTGAGACCAGCCTGCCCAACTTGGTGAAACCCTGTCTCTACTAAAAATACAAGTATTAGCCAGGCGCAGTGATGCATGCCTGTAATCCCAGCTATTTGGGAGGCTGAGGCAGAATTGCTTGAACCTGGGAGGTGGCGGTTGCAGTGAGCCGAGATCACGCCACCGCACCCCAGCCTGGGCAACAGAGCGAGACTTCATCTCAGAAACAACAACAACGAAAAGGTAATAACAGCGGGGAGGTTCCTCCCAATTCCTGTTTTTCCAATGCTTTTGCTTTCTTTCTTTCTCTCTGATAGAGTGACCTTCAGCATTTTTTTCTACTGTTAAATATACACATAAAAACGTAAGAAATAAAAAAAAACCCAAAATAGATGTAAGCATTGTACCTAAAAATAACATAAAATTGACCATTTTCACTTTTTTAACGTGGGCGTCAGGGGTATTCGGTACATGCATACTGATGATCACGTGGTGATCGTCAATCACCACCCATCTCTACAACTGTTTTTCATTTGTTTTTGGTTTTTGGGTTTTTTTGAGACAGAGTCTCACTGTGTCACCCAGGCTGGAGTGTACTGGCACTATGATCTCAGCTCACTGCAACCTCTGCCTCCCGGGTTCAAGTGATTCTCCTGCCTTAGCTTCCTGAGTAGCTGAGGTCATAGGTGCCCTCCGCCACCACGCCTGGCTAATTTTTGTATTTTAGTAGAGACAGGGTTTCACTCTGTTGGCCAGGCTGGTCTCAAACTCCAGACCTCAGGTGATCCACCCACTTCAGCCTCCCAAAGTGCTGGGATGACAGGTGTGAACCATTGCGCCTGGCCTTAGAGCTGTGTGTGTGTGTGTGTTTGAGACAGATTCTTACTCTGTCACCCAGGTTGGAGTGCAATGGCATGATCTTGGCTCACTGCAACCTCTGCCGTCTGGATTAAATTGACTCTTCTGCCTCAGCCTCCTGAGTAGCTGGGATTATAGGCGCTTGTCGCCATGCTTGGATAATTTTTGTATTTTTAGTAAAGAAGGGTTTTTAGCATCTTGGCCAGACTTGTCTTGAACTCCTGACCTTGTGATCTACCCAGCTTGGCCTCCCAAAGTGTTGGGATTACAGGCATGAACCACCATACTTGTCTGAGAAAACATTTTTATTTGATTGTAGAGACAGGGTCTCATTATGTTTCCCAGGCTGGTCTTGAACTCCTGACCTCAAGTTATTCACTTGAGTTGGTCTTCCAAAGGGCTGGGATGATAGAAGTGAGCTATGGTGCCTGGCACCCTTTTTTTTTTTTTTTTTTTTTGAGCCAGAGTCTTGCTCTGCCACCCAGCCTGGAATTCTGGCATGCAGTGGTGAGATCTTATCTCACTGCAACCTCCAACTTCTGGCTTCAATCAATTCTCCTCTCTCAGCCTTCCAAGTAGCTGGCACAACAGGTGCATGCCACAACACCCAGCTAATTTTTGTATCAGTAGAGCTGAGGTTTCACCGTATTGGTCAAGCTGGTCTCGAACTTCTGACCTCAGGCGATCCACTGGCCTCTGTAGGGGCAAAACCTAGCAAGTGCTGTGGCAAGGGTCTGAAGCCTCAGCCTGTTCCCATATAAATATTGATTTAGAAATATAGGCACATAGTTATTCCTTTATATAATCATATATAATCTTATAGTTACTTATGAAGATATATACTCAATATAGCCTTTAATTTTACTAACACTAATGACTATCGGGTTATGAACAAAGTGATCCTAAGGAAAGATGCTGTGAGCCCTCTGTCACGCCCGAATAAGGGTGCTGGCGGGCGCCTCGGCTGTGCGGCAGCGGCAGCGCTGTGAAAGCCCCGCTGTTTGGCCAGCTAGGGAAGGAGATGTCCAAAATGGCTGACACCTCTCCTTCCTGGGGAAGTTAGGAGAAAACTCCGCTTCTCCGAGCTCTTGTGGAGAAGACAGCCTGATGGCTCTCAGGGAAACCCACGGACATCTGGGGGCTTAACTGTCTCTGTGTGATGCTGTGCTTCAGTGCCCACGTTCCATGTCCACTCTCACGCCCTGCTTCTGCACCTGTTTCTCTTTTTCTCAGATGATAAGAATTAATGTCCTCGACATTTTTAACAAATATGCGAAGAGCGCTGACACATTAGCTCTTCTCCTTGCCTTGGCTACTTGAAAGTCCTGGGCCCCCTATCTCCAAGACACGTGATTTACCTGACCCTATCACTGACCACCATACCTCACCCTACCTTCCCTGCCCCCTGCTCTGTACTCAGTAAAAGTCAGAGCGTCCAGGCACTCGGGGCCACTGCAGGTCTCCACGCTTTGGTTGGCAGTGGACCCCCGAGTCCAAACTCTCTTTTCTCTATCTCTGTGTCTCTGTCTTTTATTTCTACAGTTTCTCATCTCTCCAGCAACAGGGAGGGGCTCACAGAACCCTATAGGGCTGGACCCTATAGGCCTCGGCCTGCCAAAGTGCTGAGATTACAGGCATGAGCCATCGCTCCTGGCCACATCTGTTTTTATCAAAGTGAAATTCACATAACATGAAATTAACCATTGTGAACGATTCAATGGCATTTAAGTGCAGTGCAACCATATCTATCTACGGCCAGAATATTTCCATGGCCCTGAAAGGAAGCCGTGTACTCATTTTGGTGACTCACACTTGTAATCCTAGCACTTGGGAGGCTGAGGTGGGAAGATGGTTTGAGGCTAGAAGATTCATATCATCCTGGGCCACATAGCAAGGCCCCGTCTCTACCAAATATCAGAAAATTTGCTGGGTGTGGTTGTGTGCGCCTCCCATCCTAGTTATTGGGAAGACTGAGGCGGGAGGATTGCTTCAGCCCAGGAGTTGGAGGCTGCGGTGATCTGCGATCGCACCACCACACTCCAGCCTGGGCAACAGAGCAAGACCCTGTCTCTTAAAAAAGTTTTAAAAATAAAAGAAATTGGCTATTCACCCCATTTCACTCTTTTTTCTCCCTCTCTTCTTGGTATCAGCCTGAATTAGATGAGAAATAACTTTTATTGACATGTTGATAAAACTTAATTGGAAAATCCTCTGGATTTTGTCCTTCATGGGAAGGTAGTCCCTCCCTTCCTTTCTTCCTTCCTTCCTTCCTTCCTTCCTTCCTTCCTTCCTTCCTCTGTCCCTCCCTTCCTCCCTCCCTCCCTTCCTTCCTTCCTCCCTCTGTTCCTCCCTCCTTCCCTTCCTTTCTTCCTCTCTTCCTCTCTTTTTTTCTTTCAACAGGGTCTCCCTCTGTCACCCAGGCTGAAGTATAGTGGCACCATCATGGCTCACTACAGCCCTGACTTCCTGGGTTCAATCGATCCTCCAGCCTCAGCCTCTCAAGTAGTGGGGACCACAGGTGCACACCACCACATTCAGCTAATTAAACATTTTTTTTTGTAGTGACCAGGTTTTCCCATGTTGCCCAGATGGGTGTTAAACTCCTAGGTTCAAGTTATTTGCCCATCTCAGCCTCCCAAAGTGCTGGGATCACAGGCATGAGTCACACTGTCTGCCCCCCCCGCCCCAAGTTATTTCAATTTCATTAATATTTATGCATGTAGTAAGGTTTTTTGATGCCTCTTGGTGCAGTTTTTGCTTTTATATTTTTCTATAAATGTCTTCTTTTCATCTTCAGTTTTTTTTCTTTTTTTTTTGAGATGGAGTTCTGCTTTTGTCACCCAGGCTGGAGTGCAATAGTATAATCTCAGTTTACTGCTGAGATCACACTATTACAGAGATTACTAGTGTAATCTCTGCCTCTTGGGTTTAAGTGATTCTCCTGGCTCAGCCTCCTGAGTAGCTGGGATTATAGGCACCTCCATCATGCCCAGCTAATTTTTGTATTTTTAGGAGAGACGGGGTTTTACCATGCTGGTCAGGCTGGTCTCAAACTCCTGACATTGTGATCTGCCTGCCTCGGCCTTCCAAAGTGTTGGGATT